CTATTGGTGGATGGGGTGGATGGGGGGTAGATGGATAGGGGGTAGACAGATGGGTGGGTCTGTACGGGTATGTGGATGGTTGGATGGATTGGTAGACAGAAGGATATGTATTGGTGGATGGATGAATGGACGGATGAATGAATAAACAGAGACTATATTATAGGTGGCACTATAGGATCCATATAACAAGCAGATCAGGTCAGGTCAGGTCAGGTCAGCGTGACTCTCTGACAGACGTAACGCCCACCTCATCAAGGCCACAGGACGAGTGACTCACAGGAACCCAGCACAATAACAATAGACGGGCGGATCCTGGTCCATGTGAAGGATATCGCGCTTGTGTTTACATCTAGATCCCTGGACTCTGATTCATGTGAGATAAAATACGTCAACAGAAGCGTGAATTCGAGTCCATGGGAAAATTATTTAGTAAATATGATTTTTTGGTTTTTATTTATTTATTTCTCGTGATTTTATAAATTGTTTTGAGGCGAAAGTTAGGAAAAGTTAATGATTTTTTTTTTAAGTTTGTGTTTATTATTATTATTATTATTATTATTATTATTATTATTATTATTATTATTATTATTATTATTATTATTACTATTATTGTTATTATTATTATTATTATTATTATTTTATTATTATCATTATTATTATTAAACTCTAAATGAGTATCTGCACTCTCTCTCTCTCTCTCTCTCTCTCTAAATAACACACATAAATATCAACACTTAACTACGTTGTCTTGATGAAGGGTGTCAGAGTCTGGCCAATCATCTCTCACCATTAGCTAAACCTTACTTCTCATTGGCTGACAGCTCTCCTGGTGAAATTGAGATTCTTTTCTCCCGAGATCTCCTTTGGTGAGGGAAAACTCAGGTAGGTAGAGATTAAGTACTCGGGGAAACTGACGTCGATTACGGCCGATTTAGGGAATTTCCCGAACGTAATAATGGAGAACACGGACATTATTATCTCTCAGTGTCTCTCGGGCGTGTCTCCAAAGGTAAACTCTCTCTCTCTCTCTCTCTCTCTCTCTCTCTCTCTCTCTCTCTCTCTCTCTCTCTCTCTCTCTCTTCCATTCATATAGTTGTTAAATGATAAGACTTATAATTTGAAGTATATTACATTAAATGACAAATATGTACTTACTTAAAAGAGCAATAAATTATTTACTTAAGAGAGCAATAAAATAACCAATACGAACTTAAATAACAATAAATAACAAATACGTCATTGAAAGAGCAATTAAAAAAAACACATCCACTCTTAACTTTGAGACATTAACAAGAGTTATTTAATGTAGAGAGATAATTACATGAGCGATTAAAACATAAGATACCAGACATTGTACACACACACACACACACACACACACACACACACACGAAGCATCAAAACAGTACGTGAGGCAACAAGAAAAACTATAATTATAATTTATTTTTGTCTCATTTTCTGTTGTGGTTTTCAGTGTGTCAGTAACATTAAAGTGACCGTCATGACCTAAAAGCTGATGATTCTTGTTGTCATCGAAAAAACCTTCTTATTGCCTGACATAGTTTCTAAAGACAGTGAAGAGCTGGACTTATTTACAGGGTGGCGCTTAGTTATCGGTAAAATGTCGATCACTGTTGGAGTGTGAGAGACGCCATTAGCTGTCACTTGTAGAAAGATCTGGTAAAAAAAAAAAGTTTATTGTTATTTTCAAGCACCGTAGTTATTGTTGGGTGTTGAGTATTTACCAACGTGATTTATTGAGAGATATAAGAGCGTCGTAATGAGAATGATATAGCAATCAATTTTTATTACAGGAACACCGGTAGCTTGACTTATTTACCAATGTTTTTTATTAATTCTACTACACTAAAATAATAAATTGTGACATATTTTCCAGTTTTATTGACATTTGAAAAAGACATATTTATCAGGTATGTTGACATTTCCAAACCCCTTCACTTATAAAGATTGTGAAAATTTGTACCTGTTTGGTTGACATTTGCACGAACGCTACATTGGCAAGAGTACTGATATTTACCAAAACAAACACCACAACGCTTCACTTACAAAAAAAATCGTGACATATTTACCAGGTTTGTTGACATTTACACGAACGCTACATTGAATAAAGTCGTCACATATTTACCTATAATACTGACAAATACACAAACGTTGTAGTGAGAAAGATGCAATTGACGATCACTAGAGAAACAGATGAAGATAATGAGAAATTCTGGCGCGGTGAGAAGAGTTAAATGGAACAAGTCAGTCGAGCAAATCATTTAGCGTGGATTGGCTGAGTGGGTAGGTGGGTGGGTGGGTGGGTTGGTTGGGGTGGGTGGGTTGGTTGGGGTGGGTACATGACTGGCAGGAGTCTGTTTGTCTGGTAAGTTCCTCGTGGATGGGGTAGAAGACGTGTAGATATAGGGAAGGGGAGAGGGAAGAAGGGTGGAGGAAGTGGAAGAAAGGAAAAGTCAGGAGGATGAAGAGGAACAGGTGGAGGGGAGGAGGAAGGAAGAAGAAAGTCGTGAGAAGGAGGAGAAGGAAGAGGGGTACAAGGGATGGAAGTAAAATAAGAAGGAAGGGAAAGGAAAGACGGAGAAGGTGAAGGAGGAAGACAACAAGAAGAACATCAAGACAGAAAAGAACAGATAAACAAAAGAAAAACACAAAAGAAAGAAAAGAGAATAAGAAACACTGAAATATCACACTTGCTAAAAATTTATATTCACTTATTCTTTTGATAACTTTTACTAAACTATAAGACACAGTTATTTTGAGCTTCGTTAAGATATATAAATAAATTCCAAAGACAAAATACTCCTCATTTGTTTTAATTTATAATGATATTTGCAAATTAATCTTATTTTAATTTTTTATTATAGTATTACTTATATTTATTAATTTGTCCCTATTTCTCACTTTCTTTCTTTTGATATAATGCCCATTTTCTTTGAATGTTTGAACGTAGGCTAATCCATCTTCGTCTCGCTTTCCTGAGTGTTACTGGTGCGTTTTACTAGACTTGGTAGGAAAAAATAAACTGACTCACTAGAATATATCCGTGAGCTGGCATTGTGTGACCGTGACGAATGATGGGCGGGTGGGGTGGGCGTACGGGCGTGAGTTCCCAACCTACTTACCCAAAGGAGCAAGTAATTCGTCTCATCCTCACGAAGCTAATTTGGTTAGTTCCTCTGAAGTCTCTCTCTCTCTCTCTCTCGATGGTCACGTTCTGCTTTCCATCACACGGTCGGTTGGTTGGCTGGAAGCTGACCCGAGTCCTATGGCGTGATTTTCAGTTTGTATTTTTGTTTGTAGTTTTTTTAGCTAAATGTCTAGGATTTCAGAATTTTATTAGGTTAGGTTGGGTTGAGTTGGGGTTAGGTCAGGTCAGGTAAGGCCGGGTCAGGTCAGGTCAGGTAAGGCCGGGTCAGGTCAGGTCAGGTAAGGCCGGGTCAGGTCAGGTCAGGTGGCCAGGCCGGGTCAGGTCAGGTCAGGTCAGGTTACGATTTACTTAGACTTAAAAAAACAATACTGCCAGTGAAAGTAAAACCAGAACTTGTTTGTGCAAAATTCTTGAACTCTCGCAAGGTGTAGAGATCCTGTGGTTACCTGTGGCTACCTGGGGCTACCTGGGGCTACCTGGGGCTACCTGGGTGCTACCTGTGGTTATCTGCGACTACCTGTGGCTACCTGGGGCTACCTACAAAAGTAGAAATTCTCAGGTACGATTCGGGAGAAACTTGAAGGCCAAACAATGACCTTAAATAAGTCGCCCGGGGCTGTATTCCGGGGCTTCCTAGGTTGAATTTTTGGGGGCTTCTTAAGTTTAAATTCCGGGGCTTCGGGGTAAAGAGAATCCTGGCTTTTTCGGGGGTTTTAAAATCCGGGGCTTCCTTCTTAGCTTGGTTTCCGGGACTAACAGTAAAAGAAAAATGGCCTACAATGTCTAGAGCTTAATTCCCGGGTTTCTTTAGAGTAATATAACAGGGCTTCCGGAAGGTTAATTACGAGGGTTTCCGGTTGAATATCTTGGTTGTCTGGCAGTTAATTGGTGGACAAACTTGCATGGTTGTGAATAGTTCTCTCTCTCTCTCTCTCTCTCTCTCTCTCTCTCTCTCGTCAAGAGAAACTTGACTTTTGTGAAAGTTCAAAGAGAAGAAAAAGACTGATAGATCATTCCTGTGTGTGTGTGTGTGTGTGTATGTATGTGGTGAAACCTGTAACACACACAGCCAGCAGGTTAAGCACACACACACACACACATGAACAGAGACCAAGAATGTAATACCTCACTGTATAATATTTTACCTTTCAATAGGAGAAATAAATAGCTATCCACTCGACACTGACCCCTAACCTAACCTAACCTAACCCCCTGAATAGCGTTAGGATGGTTAACACTTTCGCCGCGGAAGGTTACCCTAAGGGCCTAAGCTGAATAAAATCGTCTGGTCGTAGGCAGATTAAATGACAAGTGAATGACACGCAGCGATAGGGTTAATCTTCAGGTGAAATAAACTCAGGTGGTGATTTTATAAGTAAGGTCGATGATATATATTATTATTTAGCTATGTATATCACGTTTGAGCTTCATAAATGTGTAATTTGGAAAAAGATAATTCTCCTTTTTTTTTTCTCTCCAACAAAGTCTCCCTCAGAATCTCCCTCATCACCAACATAATTCTCACCACCATCATTATCTCTCTTTCAGATATCTCACATCTTCCTCTCCTCCTCCCTCCCTCCTCACCACTACCATTATCTCTCTCCATCTCTCACCAGCATTATCTCCTCCCTCCCTCCTCGCTCCCTCTCCATCTCTCTCACCAGCACCATTATCTTCCATCTCACCAGCACATTATCTCTCCCCAGGTCTCACCAGCACCATTATCTCTCCATCTCTCACCATCAATTCCCTCCCTCCTCCTCCCTCCTCTCCATCTCTCACCAGCACCATTATCTCTCCATCTCACCAGCACCATTATCTCCCCCAGGTCTCTCACCGTCCATCAAGATGTCTTACCTCGGGATGACAACACATAGACTTTGACAACCTACCAAACCCCAATGCGCTTCGAGCTGCTGGAGATTATTGGGAAGGAACTTATGCAGAAGTGTTTGCTGCCAGGACCATGAGACAGGTAAGGGGAAGGGGAAGGAAGGGAGGTAGGGTAGGGATGGTTAAAGGAGGGGGGAGAGTGGGGGGAGGAATGGGAGGGTGAGGGAGGAAGTAGGGGATGGTTAAAGGAGGGGGAGGGGAGGGAGGGAGGAATGGGAGGTGAGGGAGGTAGGTTAGGGATGGTTAAAGGAGGGGGGGAGAGAGGGAGGGAGGAATGGGAGGTGAGGGAGGTAGGGGATGGTTAATGGAGGGGGGGAGAGGAGGAGGAATGGGAGGTGAGGGAGGTAGGGGATGGTTAATGGAAGGGAGGGGAGGGGGATGAAGGAAGGGTAGGTGATGGAGGGGATGGGATTTAAAGGAAGGGGAAGCGAGGGGAGGATGGAAGGGGAGGTTATGAATACTTAATGAAGAAGAAGTGGAAGGAAGAGGAGGAGATGGATGATTAAGAAGAGAGAAGGTGGGACAGGGGTGAATAGGGAAGAGAAGAAGAGGAAAAGGAAACAGAAGTGGGAAGGGGATGAAGGGAGGAAAGAGGTCACAGGTGATGGAAGAGTCAGAGGTGGGAGGGAGAGAGGTAAGGAAAGGAGGAAAGGGATGTAGGAGGGTGAGAGGGAGAGAGATAAAGGTGAGAAATGGGAGATAAAAAGAAACATGTGAGACGGAGAGGAGAGAGAAATGGGTGAGTGGCAGAGAGATGATGCAAGGAGAGAGAGAGAGAAAACGGCAAAGAGACCTCACAGGTGAGACAGGTAAGAGACAGGGAAGAGACAGTTGGGAGAAAGGAAATGATACTCTTAGACAGGAGACGGCAGGTGTACTAATTACCGGATGACAGTAATTTAACACGGGGGGAGGGAAGAGGTGACGGAGGGTGGAGGAGAGGAGAGACAGAGGGAGGGAAGAGGAAAAGGAGGAGGGAAGTAGAGAGGGGGGGGGGAAGAGGAAAGGAGGGGAGGGAAGAGGAAAGGAGGGGAGGAAAGTAGAGAGGGAGGGGAGGAAAAGGAAAGGGAGGGGAGGGATGGAAGAGGAATGGGAGGAGGAAGTAGAGAGGGAGGGTAGAGGAGGGGAGGTAAGAGGAAAGGGAGGGAAGGAAGAGAAAGGGAGGAGGAAGTAGAGAGGAGGGGAGGGAAGTAGAGGAGGGGAGGTAAGAGGAAAGGGAGGGGAGGGAAGAAGAAAGGAGGAGGGAAGTAGAGAGGAGGAGGAAAAGGAAAGGAGGAGGGGATGGAAGAGGAATGAGGGAGGGAAGTAGAGGAGGAGGAAAGTAGAGAGGAGGGGAGGTAAGAGGAAAAGGGAGGGAAGGGAAGAGGAAACGGGAGGGAGGAAGAGGAATGAGGAGGAAAGTAGAGAGGGAGGGGAGGGAAGTAGAGAGGGAGGGAGGGAGGAAAGAGGAAAGGGAGGAGGGAAGAGGGAGGGGAGGAAAGAGGAAAGGGAGGGGAGGGAAGAGGAACGGGGAGGCGAGAGAGGGAGGAGGAAAAGGAAAGGGAGGGGAGGATAGAGTAAAGGTGAGAAGGAAAGGGAGGGTGAGGGAAGAAGAAGGAAGGGGAGGGACGAGGGGAAAGGAAGGGAGGAGTAGGAGTGAGGATTACAGAGAAAGAGGGAGGAGAGAATAAGAAAGGAGGGGAGGAGAGGATAGACAGAGTAAGGAAGGAGGGGGGAGAAGGGAGGGAAGAAGAATGAAGGAGAGGAGAGATAGTGAGAAATACAAAATAAGGAGGAGGGGAAGGAATCAGTTAAGTCAGTGAGGTCGGGATATGGGTCCCTTCTATTTTATTTATATATATATAAAAGATAAATAATGAAAGAAGAACAACAAGTTGTAATTACTCAGGGTGAGCATGCCTGTACTCACCCCTGAAGATGTGAATTACACGAAACGCTTGGGAACTTCGTGTTTTTCTTTCATTTGGTTATCAGCATATATATATATATATATATATTTTTTTTTTTTTTTTTTTTTTTTTGTCCCCAACAGACTCTGTTAAGGTAGAGAGAGAGAGAGAGAGAGAGAGAGAGAGAGAGAGAAATCCTACATCCATATCTCCTACACTACTAACGTCTCCAACACTAATATCTCCTACTCCTTCAGATACCCAGGTGGCTATCAAGATCATGGAGAACATCGGGAGAACCTGGAAGAGATCGAGGAGGAGTATCTCATCCTCCGGGACCTCAGCCTCCACCCTAACCTGCCAGCCTTCCACGGCATATTCTTCAAGAAGGGCGTCAAGCAAGAGGAGACCAGGCCTGGCTCGCCATGGAGGTAAGGAGGAGGAGGAGGAGGGGGAGGAGGAGGATGGGGTAACTCGCAAGGAAAGGGGGAGGAGGGCAGCAAGCAAGGAGGAGAAAGGGGGGGATGGGCAGTAAGCAGGAGGAAGAGGAAAGATCAGTAAGCAGAAGGAGAAGGAGGAGGAGGAGGAGGAAGGGAAGAGGGAAGCAAGCAGGAGGAGAAAGGGGAGGGCAGTAAGCAGGAGGAAGAGGGAAAGATCAGTAAGCAGAAGGAGGATAGGAGGAGGAGGAGGAGGAGGAGGAGGAGGGAGGAGGAAGGGAAGAGGGAAGCGAGCAGGAGGAGGAGAAAGGGAGGGGCAGTAAGCAGGAGGAAGAGGAAAGATCAGTAAGCAGAAGAGGAGGAGAAAGAGGAGGAAGGAAGAGGGAAGCGAGCAGGAGGAGAAAGGGGGGAGGGGCAGTAAGCAGGAGGAAGAGGAAAGATCAGTAAGCAGAAGGAGGATACGGAGGAGGAGGAGGAGGAGGAGGAAGGGAAGGGGAAGCGAGCAGGAGGAGAAAGGGGGAGGGGCAGTAAGCAGGAGGAAGAGGAAGGTCTGTAAGGAGGAGAAGGAGGAGGAGGAGGAAGGGAAGAGGGAAGCAAGCAGGAGGAGAAAGGGGGGGAGGGGCAGTTTTTTAGTTTAACAAATTTATTGACAAAGCTTATAGTACAGTTTGCCTATTGTAAGTAATTCAGTCAGGTCTTGAGGGTGGTATCACTGCCACGTAGGACAGAGGTTCATACACAAAGAAATAGATCTTATTCATTCTCAACTTCCCTCTTTCCCTCACTCACTTTTTCCTTCACTCACCCCCACTCTTTATCTCCCTTTCTCTCACAGTATCACCCCCTCATTCACCATCCCTCACTCCCTCACTCTTCCTCCCTTACTCCCTCATTTAAACCCTCTTTCTCTCCCTCACACCTTCCACCTTTCCCTCACTATCTCACTCTCTCCTGCCCCCTCACACTCTCCCTCCCACTCACTCTCTCCTGCCCCCTCACCCTCTCCCTCCCCCTCACTCTCTCCCTCCCCCTCACTCTCTCCCTCACTCACTCTCACTCTCTCCCGAGAGACGTAGAGCGAGGGGCGACCTGATAGAGGTGTATAAGTGGAAGTCAGGGCTAAACAAAAGGGGACATTACAAAGGTACTCAAACTATCCAACCAGGAGCGAACTCGTAACAATGGTTTTAAATAAGACAAATTTAGATTTAGGCGTGAAATAGGTAAACACTGGTTTGGAAACAGAGTAGTGGACGAGTAGAACAAGTTACCAAATATCATCATTAACTCGAATACGCTGGATAGCTTCAAACATAGGTTGGATGCTTATATGAGCAATAGGGGTTGGGTGTAAACGGGACTGCCCAGTATGGGCCGATAGGCCCGCTGCAGTTTCCTCCATTCTTATGTTCTTATGTTCCTTACAGCTGTGTCCTCGAGGGTCGGTGACTGACCTGGTTCAAGCACTCATCAGGCGGGGACAGAGGCTGACGGAGCAGCAGCTGGCGTACATTCTGAAGGAGACTATTGACGTAGGTGTTCCTCTCCCTCCATCTGTGGTGGTGGTGAGAGAGAGAGAGAGAGAGAGAGAGAGAGGAAAAAGTATATAAAAAGCTGTTCCTTGTTACAATAATACCATATAATTTGTAAGTCAGGCCGCTAGTCAGGCCGCACCTCCATTATGCGGTTCAGTTCTGGTGTCCTTATTATAGAATGGATATCAATTCACTGGAGTCGGTGCAGCGAAGAATGACGAAAATGATTCCGGGACTTAGAAACCTTCCATATCAAGATAGGTTAAAGAAACTAAACTTGCATTCCCAGAAAGACGAAGAGTGCGGGGAGATATGATAGAAGTATTTAAGTGGGTGAAAGGAATGAATAAAGGGGATATAGATAAAGTTCTTATAATATCCGAGCAGGATAGGACTCGTAGCAACAGATTTAAGTTGAATAAGTTTAGGTTTAGGAGGGAGATATGAAGGAACTGGTTCACAAATAGGGAGGTTGACGAGTGGAACAAGCTTAGCAACTTTGTAGTAAATGCTGGAACGCTGGAAAGTTTTAAAAGGAGGCTAGATAGATTCATGGATGATAGAGAGTGGTAGTAACTCTCGACAGGAGCTGCCATGCACAGGCCAACCTTTCAATTGCAGACTCCTTATGTTCTTATATCACGGAAGGAATCAGGAAATTCTCCACATGTGCCAGTACCAAAGTATTGCCACACGGGTACTACTGACCCAGTGACACTCAGGGAGGCGGGAGAAAGCCAGGGCAGGTGAGGCCATGGCAGGTGAGGTCAGGGCAGGGTAGTCACGTCGGAATGTGGTCTTGTCCTGCTCGTTAAAGGTCACAAAGGTATAATGACCAATATACCTGTCGATAACGAGTATATAATGCGTCTGAGAGAGAGAGAGAGACAGAGAGAGAGAGAGAGAGAGAGAGAGGTGATATTTTTCTTCTTTCATTATATTTTCAAAAGACTTTGTATTTTGAGTGAGAAAAGATTCATTATTTTTTTTTTTACTGGTATATATTTTTCAGGTTGTTTCTAACGTTTTTGTAAGTTGTTGTTACCAGGAAATGAGGAGTGTGGAGGAAGGTGAGGAAGGAGAGGAGGTAGGAGGAGGAAGGAGGAGGAAACAGGAGGGAGGAGGAGGAAGCAGGTGAAAAGCAAACACTGGAGGAGAGACGAAGGAAGTCCGACTAATGCTGCCTCTTTCCCTCCCCCTCCTTCCCTCCCTCCCTCCCTTCCCCCCTCCTTCCCTTTCCTTTTCTCTTCCTTCCCTCCCTCCCTCCTTGTATCTCTGTCCCTCCCTTCTACTCTCCCAGCCTCTCTTTTTCTCAACCTTCCCCCTCCTCCTCCTCCTCTCCTGTCTAAATAATATTAATCTCTAATGTAAAACGATCTCACCTTTTCACTGACGCTGACGTTGATGCTGACGTTGATGCTGACACTAACGACGTTAATGTTGCTGCTGGCGCTACTGCTGACGCTACTGCTGACACTACTGACGGATGGTGATGTTGGTGGATACAGGCGATGGCTTACCTACACCAGAACAAGTGTATGCACCGAGATATCAAGGGTCACAATATCCTTCTCACCCAACACGGTAACATCAAGCTGGTCGATTTCGGTGTCAGCTCTCACCTGGCCTCCACCTGGGGCCGCCGTAACACTTCCGTCGGTACTCCGTATTGGATGGCTCCTGAGGTACGTGGTGGGTGTGGTGGGTACGTGGTGGGTGTTTTATGTACGTGGTGTGTGTTTTGTGTACGTGGTGGGTGTTTCATGTACGTGGTGTGTGTTTTGTGTACGTGGTGGGTGTTTTGTGTACGTGGTGGGTGTTTCATGTACGTGGTGGGTGTTTTGTGCACGTGGTGGGTGTTTGATATAAGTAGGTTAAACAAATATATCATCCTTAATTTAGTAAATCCTAAAGAAAAACAAATCCGAGTAAATCCACTTAATTAATCCGCTATGAATCCGGCTTCAGGTGATCGCGTGTGAACAACAGCTGGACTACAGTTATGACGTGAGGTGTGATGTGTGGTCTCTAGGTATCACGGCCATAGAGCTGGCTGACGGCGAGCCTCCCCTCTCAGAGATACACCCGATGAGAGCCTTGTTCCAGGTACGTTCATACACAGGTAATTTTAGCTTTCCAGGTGATCAAGAGAGCTAATTATTGGTCCACCTATTTTTCCATATACTTTCACACAGGTAATTAGCTTTCCAGGTGACCCAGAGAGCTAATTAGTGTGCCACATATTGTTACAGTTTATCTAGACAGGTAATTCTAGCTTTCCAGGTGATCGAGAAAGCTAATTATTGTCCCAGGTAGTCCAGACAGGTAATTTGTGTTATAGTTGGGTTCACAGGTAATGAGAGTCTTTGCTACAGGTATATACACACCTTTACTTAGCGCTCCTGTTGACCTAGACAGCTAATTGGCTTCTCAGATGATCCAGAATGCTAATTAGTATTCCAGGTTAACCCTGAAGCCTAACCAAACCTAACCAAACCTAACCTAACCAAACCAAACCTAACCAAACCTAACCAAACCTAACCAAACCTAACCAAACCAAACCTAACCAAACCTAACCAAACCTAACCAAACCTAACCTAACCAAATCTTTCCCTTCCAGATCCCCAGAAATCCACCACCAACTTTGGAACGCCCGGTGGAGTGGTCATTTGACTTCAATGACTTCATTTCCGAGTGTTTGGTCAAGGACTTCGAGCAACGAGCCGGGGCCAAGGAACTACTCCAGCACCCATTCATCAAGGCCGTACCCAATAACCCCGAGGAGGTGAGGTGGTGGTGAGATGGGATAATGGTGGAGGATGGTAAGGTGGAGTAGTGATAAAAAGTGGTTGGAAAGTGGTCTGAATATAGTGGGAAAAGTTTATTTTTTTTGGCTATTGAATGAGAGACGACACGCATGGCAGTGGTGGAATGTGTGTACTAATGCGGTCAGGGAGTGGGGAGATAAGGTGAGGGAGTGGGGAGAGGAGGTGAGGGAGTGGGGAGATGAAGTGAGGGAGGGGAGATATGTGAGGGAGTGGGGGGAGGATAAGGTGAGGGAGGGGCTGAAGGGAGGGAGTGGGGAGAGGAGGCAGGAGGGAGGGGAAGAGTGTTTGGGGAGATGTGGAAGAGGGAGGGGGAGAGGAGGTAAGGGAGTGGGGAGATAATTGAGTGGGGGGAGATAAGGAGGGGAGGGGAAATAAGGTGAGGGGAGGGGGGAGGATAAGGAGGGGAGTGGGGGAGAGGGGAGGGGGAGGGGAGAGGAGGTGATGGAGGGGGGAGAGGAGGGAGGGGAGTGGGGAGGAATGTTTGGAGGTGAGGAGGGAGTGGGAGGAGGAGGGGAGAAGAGGAGGGGAGTGGGGAGGAGTGATTGGGGAGTTGGAGGTGAGGAAGTGGGGAGGGGAGGTGGAGTGAGTGGGAAGGAATGTTTGAGGGATGAGGATGGAGGAAGCAAGGAGGGATGAGAGTGGGAACGAGGCATTGGGAAGTTTGTGAGGAGAGGTGAAGTGTTGAGAGGTGTGTTGAGAGGTGTGTTGAGAGAGGGTGATAGAGAGGTGATGGAGAGAGGTGGAGAGGTGTATTGAGAGGTGTTGAGAAGTGTGTTGGAGAGGTGATAGAGGTGGTGGAGAGGTGTATTGAGAGGTGTTGGAGAAGTGTGTTGGAGGAGGGTGAGAGAGGTGGTGGAGAGGTATTGAGAGATGTTGAGAGGTGTGTTGGAGAGGTGATAGAGGAGGTGTGTTGGAGAGGTGGGTGGAGAGGTGTTGGAGGTGTGTTGGAGAGGTGGTGGAGAGGTGTTGGAGAGGTGATGGAGAAGTGTGAGGTAAAAGAACAAAGATACATCATGAGGTCCAGGAGGCCACGTGACTGTGAGGAGAGAGATAAACAATAACAAAAGAAACAAAAACACATGAACAAATAAACAATGAATATGTAAACAAAGAAGACGAACAAGAACAATAACAAGAATAATAACAAGAACATGAACAAGAACAAGAACATAACGTAGACGAAGAAGAAGACGAACAAGAACAATGACAAGAACAAGACGAAGAAACAAATAAAAGCTTTAAAAACACCAAAAACTCAACCAAAAACATAGGTCACTGTACAAACTGCAACACATCCACAACACATCCAACACACCCCAACACATCCACAACACATCCTGCAACACACCCCCAACACATCCACAACACATCCCAACATCCCAACACATCCAACACGTCCTGCAACACATCCCAACACATCACAACACATCCACAACACATCCCCACACATCCACAACACACATCCCAACAACACATCCCAACACACCCCAACACATCCCAACACATCCCAACACATCCCAACACATCCCAACACATCCCAACACATCCCCCAACACACCACAACACATCCCAACACATCCCAACACATCCCAACACAACCCAACACACCCCAACACACCCCTGCAAACACATCCCAACACATCCCAACACATCCCAACACAATCCCCAACACATCCACAACACATCCCAACACATCACAACACATCCCAACACATCACAACATATCCCAACACACCCCCAACACACCCCAACACATCCCAACACATCCCAACACATCCCAACACATTTCAACACATCCCAACCTTATAACATCTCCCTTCTCCTGCAGATGCGCCTCGCCCTCACGCTGCTACAGGACGATCTGAGGAAGAAGAACCAGCTCATACAGAAGGAGCCCGAGACCACCATCAAGGGCGGGGCACTGAAGGCTGACAGGAAGACCAAGAGAGTCCCGTTGTGGATGGATGACTTGGCCTGTCTAGAGAAGCTGTCTGAGGTAAGATGAGGCTTCGATCGATGGTTCGTCTGGCGTAGCTTACTCCAGTGTGGGAGGGTTGTGGTGATTGTGTATTGGGTGTGTGTGGGTTGGTGCTTGTGTGTGTGTGTCTCTCTCTCTCTCTTTATTTTGAAAGGGAATGGGAAATAGAGATTGAATGAGAAATAAAGAGATAGGCAGAGGTAGAGAAAAGAGAACAGAGACAAAATGAGGAAAGACTGAGAGAGAGAGAGAGAGAGAGAGAGAGAGAGAGAGAGAGAGAGAGAGAGAGAGAGATACCCTCCACTAACAAGCCCTCCTCCTTCTTCGCCTCCTACAGGAAGTTATCGTAGACCACCTCGGCCGACGCTACGAGACTGACCAGATCTACACATACATGGGCGACATCCTCATAGCAATCAATCCCTTCAGGGAGATCGGCGTGTATGGTGATAAGGTCAGTCTGTCAGTCTGTCAGTTTGTCAATTTGTAAGTTTGTCAGTCTATCACTCTGTCAGTTTGTCAGTATGTCAGTCCACATTTATGATGTAACTCTTTTGGGTACAATTTTCTTCGTGTTCCTTGACCAGACACAGATACTGACAGAGTGTTTATTATCATTTTTATTAAATCACTATTAAAGGCATAGGGATAAATTGATGGCCCATATATTAAATTTCTCAAGAGTCTATTGTTATTATTTTCACAGATAGACAGACATTCATATGGTAGTTTATATTTTTTTGGGGGGGGGGGGTTTGAGAAATTTTCGTAGACTTAGTTTAAATTAATTGTCTTTTAGGCTTTCTATATATATATATATATATATATATATATATATATATATATATATATATATATATATATATATATATATATATATATATATATCAATTTATTAAGTACTATACGTCAAGTTTGTCTATAAACCTCGAAAGATTATACTTCACGTCTAATATCATATTCTTCGACGCCTTCTGCAGGAGTCTCGTTTACACCGGGGGATGGTGAAGAGTGAGAACCCTCCCCACATCTTCGCCATGGCAGACAACGCCTACCACAACATGTTACATCAAAAACAACAACAGTGTATCGTGATATCTGGCGAGTCTGGCGCTGGCAAGACGGAGAGTGCAAACTTTCTACTTAAGCAACTCGTCACCCTGGGCAAGGTAAAGGGGTGGCTAGAGGGTGTATAGTGTTCCTTATATCACAGTAACAGTAGCAATAGTGTTCCTTATATCACAGTAACAGTAGCAATAGTGTTCCTTATATCACAGTAACAGTAGCAATAGTGTTCCTTATATCACAGTAACAGTAGCAATAGTGTTCCTTATGTCACAGTAACAGTAGCAATAGTGTTCCTTATATCACAGTAACAGTAGTGTTCCTTATATCACAGTAACAGTAGTGTTCCTTATATCACAGTAACTATACCAACACCTCCAATTCTCACCTTATCCTACCTCACCTCTCCACCTCTCCACCTCTCATCTCCATCATCCTCTCCTCCTACAGGCACCTAACAGGAACCTAGAAGACAAGATCCTGCAGGTAAATCCCATCATGGAGTCCTTCGGTAATGCTAAAACGGGGATTAACGATAACTCCTCCAGGTTTGGCAAATATCTGGAGCTAACGTACACTCGTCTGGGGAAGGTGACGGGCGCTAAGATCTCTGTTTACCTCTTGGAACAGTCCCGCGTCGTCCATCAGGCTGAGTAAGTTGAGGTCTTCCTTCTGCAGGTTGTTCCTCTGTTAGTGTTGGTTTCTGTTTGGTTTTTGTTTTTTTTCTTGTTATTCTTTTGTTTTTATTGTCCTGTTTATTGGTTATATTTTTAAGTGGATTATTTTCTTATTATTTTATTTTTTTATTTTTGTTTTTGTTAAGTTCATCTCTATTGTTTTGGTTTGTTTGTTTTGTATATGTCTCTTTACTGTATGTCTCTCACTCACTCATCCACACACTCTATCCAACTCTCACACACTCTCACACGCACTCACACACTCTCCCACACCCAGACACTCTCACACACACACACTCTCACACACCCACACACACTCTTACACACCCCCACACACTCTCATCCACTCCCACTCACACACTCACACACACTCACTCACTCTCACACACTCACTCACTCTCACACACTCACACACTCTCACTCACTCTCCCACACTCTCACTCACTCTCACACACTCTCACTCACTCTCCCATATCTTACAGAGGGGAGCAGAACTTCCACATTTTCTATTACCTGCACGATGGCCTAGAGGCAGAGGACAAGTTGCTTCAGTACTGCCTCGACAAGAATAAGAGGGACAAACACCACTACCTCTCAGGAGCCAACTGGAGCAAGAGCAAGAGTGAGGTGAGGGAGGGAAGGAGGGGGAGTGGGGGGTGGGAAGGAGTGGGGGGTGTGGGAGGGAGAGGGATCGAATGGTGGATGTAGGAGGGGAAAGAGGGTGTAGGAGGGAAGGGAGGTCATGGAAGGGAGAGAGTAGGGGGAATAAATGATAAAGATAACTTATATCTATCCACCTCTTTTACTATCCACCTCATAGTATCTACTCCTCACGCTATTCACTCCTCACACTATCCACCCCTCACTATCCAGCCCTCACACTATCCACCACCTCTCACTATCCACCCCTCACACTATCCACCCATCACACTATCCACGCATCACACTATCCACCTCTCACTATCCACCCCTCACATTATCCACCTCTCACTATCCATCTCACACTATCCACCTCTCACTATCCACCCCCACACTATCCACCCCTCACACTATCCACCTCTCACTACCCATCTCACACCATCCACCCACCATCCACCCCACACCATCCACCTCACCATCCACCTCACACTATCCACCCCACACTATCCACCACCACACATCCACCACCACACTATCCACCACACACCATCCACCTCACACCATCCACCCCACCATCCACACACATCCTCACACATCCACCCCCCCACATCCACCCCACATCCACCCCACACTATTCACCACCCTCACTATCCACCCTCACACTATCCACCCATCACACTATCCACCACCATCCCTCACTATCCACCCTCACACCATCCACCCTCACACTATCCACCCACCACCCATCTCACACTATCCACCACCTCACACTATCCACCACCTCACACTATCCACCTCTCACTATCCACCACACTATCCACCCTTCACACTATCCACCACCACACTATCCACCACCTCACACTATCCACCACACATATCCACCACCACACTATCCCACCTCACACTATCCACCACCTCTCACACTATCCACCTTCTTCTCACCACCTCACACTATCCACCACCTCACTATCCACCTCACCTTCCCACACCTCCACACTATCACTTCACACTATCCACCACCTCACACTATCCACCTTTCACTATCCACGTCACACTATCCTCACACTATCTACCTACCTCACACTATCCACCACCTCACACTATCCACCCCTCACACTATCCACCTCTCACTATCCACCTCACACTATCCACGTCACACTATCCACGTCACACTATCCACCCCTCATACTATCCACCTCTCACTATCCACCTCACACTATCCACCTCTCTCTCTACAGGCCAACGTGGCACAGTTCAAGAAGGTGGTGGAAGGCTTCAAGTCCTTGGGTTTCCGTGATGATGAACTCGACTCAGTGTACAGGATCCTGGCGTCGATCATCAACCTGGGAGACGTCGATTTCTACCAGACCATCGACAAGGATAATATGGAGCAAGCGGCGGTGAAGAATGTCGAGCAGATTAAGATAGGTGAGGATAATGGTAGTGGTGTGGTGTGGTGTGGTGTGGTGGGGTGTGGTGTGGTGTGGTGTGGTGTGGTGGGGTGGGGTGTGGTGTGGAGGGGGTGGTGATGATGGTGATGGTGATAATACGTAAAGTTAATCGTCGTTTGGTTTGGTGATGCGTCATTATCGGTGTTGTTGTTTTTTATTGTGATTTTGAATGTTAATTGGTGATTTTTAACCCTTTAATTTAACTTTAACTGTGAGTAGTTATTTATAATATATTTTTTAACTATAATGTTAATTTTGATTGGTGTTTTATTGTGATTATTGGTGATTTATTGATCTAACGAGTGATTGGCGCTTTAGGGCTGATTCCTGACGAAGACGCTGACGAGGTTACAGACAATATGACGTAGATAATTAACTTCATTATTATCGTCTCTAAGTTCGCTCTTCCCTGCCTCTTGTTCACAGTGTCGGAGCTGCTGGGAATCGACCCTGCAGATCTGACGGAGGCGCTGACGTCGAACAGTGTGGTGACGAAGGGGGAGATCATCACGAGGAACAACACGGTGGAGGAAGCCATCTCCACTAGGGACGCCATGGCTAAGGCTATGTACGGGAGACTGTTCGACTGGATCGTCAACAACATCAATCGACTCCTCTCCTTCTGCAGGATTGTCTAGTGAGTGTGGGTGGGGGTGTCTCTTTCTCTCTCTCTATTGTTACTCTCAGTCTCTCTCTCTCTTTCTCTCTCTCTCTCACATCTAACTAGCTAGCTCCCCCTCCCCCACACACACCCTGACCTACCGTATTACATTGCAGTGGTGAGAGCATAGCAGTGGGCCTCCTGGATATCTTCGGCTTTGAGAACTTCGAAATGAACTCCTTCGAACAGCTGTGTATCAACATCGCCAACGAACAGATCCAATATTTCTTCAACCAACACATCTTTACCTGGGAGCAGCAAGAATATATGTCCGAGGGTATTGAGGTGAGGTGGGGTGGGGTGGGGTGGGGTGGGGTGTGGAGGTTTGGGTGTGGGGTGTGGGGTGGGATGGGTATGGTGATTGTGTGGGTGTAGTAGTGGTGTGATGGTTTGGTGGTGTGGTTGTGGTGGTGGGTACAGCGGTTGTATGGATGTGGGTGTAGTGGTTGTGTGGGTGTAGTGGTTTGGTGGTGTTTTTGTGGTGCAGTGGTTGTGTGGGTAAAATGGTTGTGTGGGTGTAGTGTAGTGTGGGTGTGGTGGTGGTATGGATGTGGTGGTTGGTGTGGTGGTGGTATGGGTGTAGTTTGGGCGTGGTGGATTATGGGTGGGACTGAGGTTTTGTGTTAATGAAAATGAATTCAAAATGATATGAAATACCTTTTAGCGCTTACCTGTCAGATCTGATGTCCCCTTGATGTAAACAAACCCCAAACACCTGTCAACACACACCTGTTATTTTCCTGTTTAAGACCACTTATAAACAAACCCCAAACACCTGTCAACAAACACCTATCATTTACCTGTTTAAGACCACTTATAAACAAACCCCAAACACCTGTCAACAAACACCTGTTATTTACCTGTTTAAGACCACTTATAAACAAACCCCAAACACCTGTCAACAAACACCTATCAGTTACCTGTTTAAGACCGCCTGCAAACAAACCCCAAACACCTGTCAACAAACACCTATCATTTACTTGTTTAAGACCACCTGTAAAATCCCAAACACCTGTCAATAAACACCTGTTATTTACCTGTTTAAGACCTCTATAAATCCTCCTTAGCACCTGTAAACACCTGTCTGAAACACCTGCTCTTTCCCGCAGGTGAACATCATCGAGTTCTCAGACAACCGGCCCGTGTTGGACATGTTTCTGGCCAAGCCGATGGGTCTCTTGGCCCTGCTGGACGAGGAGAGTCGCTTCCCTAAGGCCACGGACCAGTCCTTAGTGGGTAAGTGTGTGTGTGTGTGTGTGTGTGTGTGTGTGTGTGTGTGTGTGTGTGTGTGTGTGTGTGTGTGTGTGTGTGTGTGTGTGTGTGTGTGTGTGTGTGTGTGTGTGTGTGTGTGTGTGTGAATGAGATAAATGATAAATGAAGAAATACGACATCAGAGAACTTGCTCGTAGTAGTATTGAAGTGATAACTAATGACCGTGCATAGTATGTATGTGTTTTTACCTGTGTACGTATCAATACATGTATAGGTGTATATTTATGTATGTGCACAATATAAGTGTATGTGTATGAACGTGTTTATGTCTGTATGTATGGCGACCTGTGGTGTAATGGTCAGCACGTCTCGGGTTCGATCCCCGGGCAGGGTGAAACTATGGGCAAGTTTCTTTACGCCATTTGCCTCTGTCAGCCCAGCAGTAATTAGGAACCTGGATGTTAATCGATTAGTGGATCGTGTTCCGGGGTAATGGCTAGCCAGTGCAGTTGGCGAGTTGTCCGGTCTTCTCAGACTATTCCTTGACACTGGGTCATGCAACTCGTTAACTCAGGGTGTAGTTGTTGCGTTGGCGACAGCTTCTACACCTTAAACAAATTCACTCTTTGGTGGTCCTTGGGCCGGCCATCCTGGTTACACGAGGGGCAACCATTACTATATGTGCATAACATTAATTACGTAATATATTTAACAACAAGAAAGTAAACCAAATTAAGTCCTCCTCTCACTGTCTCGTCCTCAGAGAAGTTCCACGACAACATCAAGTCTCAGTACTACATGAAGCCCAAGGCCCAGGGTTATGACTTCACCATCCGCCACTTCGCCGGGAGGGTCGCCTATGACACTCACCGGTTCCTCGAGAAGAACAAGAACTTCCTCCCCACTGAGGTCATCCAACTCCTGAGGCAGAGTTCCCACGATATTATCAGGTGAGGGAGAGGTGAGGGAGTGATGGAGAGGTGAGGGAGTGAGGGAGGGGTGAGACAGCAAGGGGGTGAGAGGTAAAGAGGAGTGGGGGTGACATGTGAGGGAGGGAAGGTGAAGGATGAGAAATGAGGGATTTATGAGGGAGGAGTGAGAGATGATAAAGGGAGTGAGGGTGAGTGGTGAGGAGAAGAAGGAAGGTGAGGAGGAAAGAGTGAGGGAGAATAGTGAGGAGAAGAAGGAAGGTGAGGAGGAAAGAGTGAGGGAGAATAGTGAGGAGAAGATGGAAGGTGATGAGGAAAGAGTGAGGGAGAATGATGGACAAGATGAATAAAATTTAAGATGAATTGTTATAACTGATCATATGCACTAACTAACACAGTCACCACCTTCTTCTGTGCCTCCGCCAGGTACCTCTTCCAGTGTCCGCTGACTAAGACGGGCAACCTCTACTACGCCACCCCTAAGAACTCCCCCAGGGCCACCCTCACCAAGCAGAAACAGGCCAAGAGCACCTCTGGCAGTACCAGCGTGAGTACTGGAGCGGTCACTAGCCACCCTCCCTCCCCCCCACCAGGAGACTGTGGGGGGAGGGGGGGGGAGAGAACTTTTAGGACACCTGATGAAAATATTAGATAGATAGATAGATAGATAGATAGATAAATAGATAGATAGCCTAACATAACTTAACCTAACCTAACCTAACTTAACCTAACCTTAAGTGAGAGTCATTGTATCAGAGAAGAAAAATCTGGCTTATTACAGCACCCCACTCACACTACCTCCCTCTCTCTTATCCTCCCTCTCCCTCTCCCTCTCCCTCTCCCTCTCACCCTCCCTCTATCTCTCCAGACGCAGTACGACAGCCGCGGTTTGGCCTCGCAGACGAAGGCGCAGCAGACGGTGGCCACATACTTCAGGTACTCTCTCATGGATCTCCTGCAGAAGATGGTGAACGGGACGCCTCACTTCGTCAGGTGCATCAAGCCCAACGACGAGAAGGCGCCCAACAGCTTCGACAAGAAGAAGGTACTGCGTGTGTGTGTGTGTGTGTATGTGTGTGTGAAGCTATATGTGTGTGTCTATGTGTAGTCCTTTACATAGATAACTCAACATGTGCGTTTATGTATGTATGTATTTATGTATGTCACTGATCACCTCTCCCTCACCTGCCAGGTACTACGGCAGCTCAAGTACGCTGGCGTCATGGAAACAGTGAGGATAAGGCAACACGGCTTCCCACATCGTATCCCCTTCGCTGAGTTCCTACGCAGGTTAGTAGATGGCGCTGGTGTTCGTCTCTGTTACTATTGAGAGAGAGAGAGAGAGAGAGAGAGAGAGAGAGAGAGAGAGTATGGATTAAGATTAAAATAGAGATAATAATTGATTCTGTTCATCTCTTCATAACACAACAGGTTAATTACAACACCATACCTGTCCTCTGTCTCAGGTGTGATGTGAAATGGGTCAGGGGAAGCTTCAGTATCTAACAGTAACACAGGAAGGGGTTGGTGGGTTGGTGGGTTAATGGGTTCGTGGGTTGGTGGGTTGATGAGTTGATGAGTTAATGGGTTGATGGTTTTATGGGTTCTATGGGGTTAATTAGCACTACCCCCATTAGTAACTTGTCTCTATATCCCCATAAATCAACTGGTCTTCAATCCTGCTCCTATTCATCCTCCTCCTCCTCCTCCCTTCTCTTCCTCTTCATCCTCCTCCTCCTCCTCCTCCTCCTCCTCTTCATCCCTTCTCTTCCTCCTCCTCCTCCTCTTCATCATCCTCCTCCTCCTCTTCCTCCCTTCTCTTCCTCTCATCATCCTCTCCTCTTCCCTTCTCTTCCTCTTCATCATCCTCCTCCTCCTCTTCCTCCCTTCTCTTCCTCTTCATCATCCTCCTCCTCCTCTTCCTCCCTTCTCTTCCTCTTCATCATCCTCCTCCTCCTCCTCCTCTTCCTCCCTTCTCTTCCTCTTCATCATCCTACTTCTCCTCCTCCTCCAGGTATTGCTTCCTGGCCTTCAACTTCGACGAGAGAGTCACAGCCTCCAAGGAGAACTGTCGCCTCCTTCTGCTGCGACTCAAGATGGACGGCTGGGCGCTGGGCAAGACTAAGGTGTTCCTCAAGTACTACCATGTTGAGTACCTCACCAAGATCTACGAGAAGCAGGTGAGGTCAAAAGGTCAAGATAGTTAACGAGGTCAGGTCAGAGGTTAAGATAGTTAACTATGTCAAGTCAGAGGTTAAAATAGTTAATGAGAAGGTCAGGTCAGAGGTTAAAAATAGTTAATGAGAAGGTCAGGTAGGTGGTTAAAATAGTTAATGAGAAGGTCAGGTCAGAGGTCATAATCGTTAATGAGAAGGTCAGGTCAGAGGTTAAGATAGTTAACTATGTCAAGTCAGAGGTTAAAATAGTTAATGAGAAGGTCAGGTCAGAGGTTAAAAATAGTTAATGAGAAGGTCAGGTAGGTGGTTAAAATAGTTAATGAGAAGGTCAGGTCAGAGGTCATAATCGTTAATGAGAAGGTCAGGTCAGAGTTCATGTTGGTTAACGAGGAGAATGAATGTCAGGTCAGAAGTCAAGTCAAGAGAGCCTGTTCGAGAGAATACGGTCGTAAGAACAGGGATTAACGTGTTAATCTTATCCCCTTCTTGCTCTCAGCTTATTGTGTTTTGTTTAATTATTCTGTATATAAACTTTGACAATTACTTAGCAGAGTGTCACACCCATTCACACCATCACCACACCCACAACACCAGTGCCACACCCTTAACACCATTACCACATCCTCAACTCCAGTGCCACACCCTCACCACCAGTACCACACCCTCATCACCAGTACCACACCCATGAACACCAGTGCCACACCCTCACCACCAGCGCCACATCATTAACGCCACCCCCTCCCACAGATACGACGCATCATACAGGTTCAGGCGTGCGTCAGGATGTGGCTGGCCAGAATTCGGTACCAGAAGCAGAAGTGGGCAATAGCTCGCTCCGTCCTCACCCTGCAGAGGTAAGTGTCCCTACCACCCACGAGAGAGAGAGAGAGAGAGAGAGATGTAACTGCCCCCATTCATATTAAACTGCCTTAAAAACATACGTATTTCCTTCATAACACCTAAGTTTACCGTTTTGCTCCTCAACACACCTGTCATTACCACCTGTATTTGTCCTAAAAATACAAGGAATTGCCCTTAAACATCTGTACTTAGCCTAAATCTCCAGTATTTTCATTATTTTATCTGTATTTGTGCTGAAATTATCTGCATTTGCCCTAAAACATATGTAAAACCTGTACCTGATCTGAATACACCTGTAAATACCTTGAATATCTGTACTTAACCTAAAACTACCTGTCAACACCTTCAACACACCTGTGCCGCCGATAGGTTTACCCGAGGCTGGATCATCAGGAAGAAGTACCAGGAAGTGTGCTCCAAGAAGACTCCTGAGGAGGCCCGACACCCCCCTGCCATGAAGGCTCCCTCCCCCCCTCCACCTGATAAGAGGAAACTCATCCACAAGGACTCAGGTACGTGAAGACTCCAGTTAAATCAATGGGAAGGCTCACTAAAGCCCAACAAAGCTTAAGATAAGACTCTTAATCAAGCAGAGTCAACATAGGCTCTTATGAATCACATAGACTAAAATTAAACTCAGTTTTGTCCAGCGAGACTTAAGAATTTTTTTTTCATTCTCTAATTCTTTCCTAAATGCAAAATACACCTAAAATATTATTGCCTGTATTAATATTTCTAGAATTACGTAACGACATGTGTCTTCTATACAGTAGCCTATACCATTGTGTTTATTTATTCTGTTTATCATTGGTAATAATCCTAATTTATCTACATTTTCCTCCATTTTCTTTATGTTAGTTGGGTAACTTTTTTTTGTCATTCACTGTTATCGTTAAAATCAAAAACATTTATATATGGAATATCTCTACAATACATTATACAATATTTCCAACAGCAAAAAGATTATTTATTTTAATAGCTTCTTTTTATAAACATATAAATTCATTACTTTTTTATGCATTTATTCGTCTATTGGGTTGACTGGATGTAATCTCTGTGTCAATAATCAAACATCTTTACACTGACCTCGACACTAGAAGCCCAGTCCATCCAGCTTCACCCTCAGCGTACAGTTACTTCCTGTAGGTCAGTGGGGGAAGGCCAAGATGATAGGGGCCCTCGGAGCACAGTCCTCCATTGATCAAGTGGCCTCCCAGGACCACACCGACGACCACAAGGTTAAAAATGCCTCGGAACTGACGAAGGAGGAAGCCGCCCTGATCATCCAAGCCTGTAAGAGAAGCCACAGGGAGATCCTTTAAACCTTTCTGCTTCTGTCTGTAGGATTTCCACGACTGTAGAAACATTGTCAGTTGTGCTCCTTCACCCTGTAGACTCCTGCCTTTAGAAACTGTACGAGTGACCCTGGTGGAAGACCCGTCCTTCAGTGCATCTTATCCTGTAGATTATTCCACCTGTGTCCTGTAGGACTCCTCTCCCGTCGTGTTGTTGAACTGTAGACTTATCCCTTACAGGATATTTCAGGACATTATTGAATTCAGTCTTGTGTTCAGATTCTCCTGTAGGACTATTGTAGGACTTTCCTTCAGATAGTCTTAGGAGGAGGACACGAGCTCCTTGTGACACTGACCAGAACCAGATATATTACAGACATTTGCTGGCTCTCCACGAACCACTTGAAACTGTAACTTGCTGAAACTGTAACTTGCTGAAACTGTAACTTGCTGAAACTGTAACTTTCTGAAACTATAACTTGCTGAAACTGTAATTTACTGAAACTGTAATTTACTGAAACTGTAATTTATTGAAACTGTAATTTACTGAAACTGTAATTTACTGTACCTGTAGTGACGTATTGTAAGACTGTGTTGCCTGATGAACCAGTAGTGATGATGAATAGGACTAAAAGACCTTTGGAAAGTTATAAGACGATTTACTGAAGATCTTGATATGCTTCTGGACCAAACTGCATGCCAGACGGAGCCTCTTGTTGATCCTGCAGCCGCCTGAGCTTACAGTCTACAGCACAGCATGTTGCCACCAAGAACTGTAACAAGATTTCACTGTACATCCCAGCCTACCCAACCTGTAACCTGATGGACCTGTAATGATCATTCTACTCTATACCAAGCCTGCCGAGTCTGTATCCTGTTAACTGTAAACCGGCAGCCTGTTTCATGCAGAATGTAATCCTTGAACCTGTATCATTCTACCTGTACCGGGGTTAATCGTGCATCTCCTAGTACAGGTGTTAATGACAGAACACCTGTGACTGACCCCTGGAGAACTCTTCCGTATATCTGTAATACTTCATTCGTTTGTTAAGAGAGTCTTGTTGGCTATTACAGCTGTTACATGTGTAGTCTAGTGTTATGTGTACTGTTATTATCTCTGTTATTCACTTTATCTTGTTATTTGAGTTATTTTTGCCAGTTTCTGTATTTCTTCTCTACATTTGTTCGTCTTCTTCCCCCTTTCTTCCTCTCTCCATCCCTTCCTCACCTCTGCTTTTCTGCTTCAACTCTTCTTCCTCTCTCCCTCACCTCTCCTTCCCTCCCTCACAACTACTTCCTTCCATCATCCATCACCTTTCCTTCCATCCCTCCCTACCTCACCTCTGTATCTCTCCCTCACCTCTCCCTCACTACCCACAGACTACCGCGGACACATGGTGAGGCAGGAATGGGGACCAGTGTTGGAGGAGAGACTCAAGAAATTGGTGGAGAAACATATCGACAACCCCGAAGAAGCGTCAAAAGCCTTGGAGGTAAGATTGTGGTTATGGTGATTGTGGTTGGTGGTGGCTATTGTGGTTGGTGGTGGTGGTGATTGTGGTTGGTGGTAGTAGTAATTGTGATTGGTGGTAGTAGTAATTGTGATTGTAGTTGGTAGGAGTGATTGTGGTAGTAGTCATGAAAAATGTCTCTGATCCATACTAGGACACCACTCTTCCCCGCATCCCTTACCCTTCCAGTTTAATTTTTAGCTTCTTATGGGCAACGCTGTCGATAGCCTTGGCAAAGTCCAGGTATATATTGTTCATATTGCCACCCTGTTCCAGAATTTGAGTTCAAACATCCAGCACTCACTCACTCACTCACTCACTCACTCCTTACAGGCAGAGGGACTATCACCAGATGAAGCAGCGCTGGTGATTCAGAAGTTCTGGGGTAGACATAAGAAGAAGAAGCGGACTGAAGCAGCCACCAACGAAGAGCTCGGACGATACACGAACAGCAAGAGAATGACCAGTCTCATCATGTTTTCCCAGAATGTAAGGAATATATGAGTTACCCTTAAAATATATTCGTTTTCTCTGTTTTGTGATAGTTTTTGTTTTCTATGATACTCTCTTTGTAAACTATAAGAAGGAAGTTATAGTGGATTAATTAGTTGAAGTTAGTGAGTTTTTGCTTTATTTTAGCTCATTATGTAAAAACAAAATAACGTAATTGATTATTTAAGGCTGTTTTGGAAATTTTATGTGTGTTTTGGAAGATAATGTTTAATTACCCTGTGATGGTGTTTATTTTCCTCATAACTAATAGAAAAGTCAATGATATCTTCCTTTCTTTCTCTTCAAAATTTCCTCTTTTTCCTTGGTGTTGGGTTTTTTACTTGTATTTTCTCCCAATTAATGAAAAAAAATACTAGTTTCTCTTATACTGTATGTTATTTTTTTTAAACGATATTATATTCATTCAGTAAAATCATCATACGGGTTTAGATTGACTCAGTATGTGTATAGACAGTGTAGGTATACTGTAGATACAATGGTAAACAGTAGATCACCTGTACATTACCTGCCCTCACCTGACCACCTGTACATTACCTGCCCACACCTGACCACATGTACATTACCTGCCCTCACCTGACCACCTGTACATTACCTGCCCACACCTGGTCACTTGTACATTACCTGCCCACACCTGGTCACTTGTACATTACCTGCCCACACCTGACCACCTGTACATTACCTGCCTCACCTGACCACCACATTACCTGCCCACACCTGACCACCTGTACATTACCTGCCCTCACCTGACCACCTGTAATTACCTGCCCACACCTGACCACCTGTACATTACCTGCCCTCATCTGACCACCCGTACATTACCTGCCCACACCTGACCACCTGTACATTACCTGCCCACACCTGACCACCTGTACATTACCTGCCCTCACCTGACCACCTGTACATTACCTGCCCTCACCTGACCACCTGTACATTACCTGCCCACACCTGACCACCTGTACATTACCTGCCATCATCACTACAGGTACACATGTCGAACCAAGAGACACACAAGTTCCTGAGGCGTCACAAGGCTGGGGTGCGTCTGGAGGAGGTCACGACCCCTGACAAAGACTACATACGTCCTAGAGGCTTCGATCATATTCCTCAAGTGATAAATGAGCAGAGGAAGAGAGCAGCGCCCCAGCCGGTGAGAGAGAGAGAGAGAGAGAGTAGTATAGTAGTAAGGAGCCTGAGGAGTGAGCGAGCCGAGGGTCGAGAAGAACTTTTTCCCAGAGTGACATTAAGGAATGACACACATAAAGCTGACTGATGCAGCTGAAGATATATACAAGAATATTGTCTTAGCTTGTACCACATTAATGACTGACAGTAATGAGTTAAACAAGAATATAACGATACATATTTACTTCTTTGTTTGTTATGTATGTCAGTGTTGTGTTATCGTCTTCCTCTCCCCTCAGCCTGGCAGCGGCAACACTCGGCCGCTTATCAAGATCACCTCTACTGACGATAGTGTGTCCAACTACTATGACTTCCTGCAGGAGGAGATGCGCAGGTGAGGCAGCTGGATCCCCCACCAGGCGGTTCCTCGTCTTGGCAGATATAAAGCGTGGGGTAACAGGTCGATCATCTCCCTTAAAACGAGATGATGTGTGAATTGGAGTGAAACAGTTTATTTAGCGTTAAAAACACAGATACAGAGTGGATAATAATAACAATATTAACATGGCTGAGCCAGTTGAGGACCTGAGCTCTCTTTGAGGCACCTGATATATACTATACATTTATGTCAAGGAAGTATTATGTAACATTTAGTATCATCTGGAATAGTGCAATAGCATGGTGGTGATAAGAACATGTTACCTCGGTTATCACTTCGTTATATATCTATTTTTATTTATTTTTTATACATAAATTACAGTGGAATTTAAAAACGTAAGTATAATGGGGGAGCAGTACAAGATGGGCTGTACAGTAATAATCAGGCAATAGATATTTTTTAAGAGATGATTTAAAGGAAGGGAGCGTAGTCTTTGCTCGGAAGGGTGGGGGTAAGTTGTTCCACACCTTCACACCATGATTTTTTATGGAGGTCTGGGACTGAGAGGAGCGCATGGGGGGTGGTCTTAGTAGCTCTGGGTGCCTTAAATTGTATCTCTGATTATTTCGGAACTGGAAATAATTATTGTCAAGCAAGTGATTATTAGATTTGTAAACAAAGAGGGCACAGCAGTAGGTGTTAATATCCTCGAATTTTAAAATTTTCAATATAGCAAATTTCTCGTGTGTGTGATCTGTTTTTCAAAGAGATCATTGTCCATACAACTCTCTTTTGTGCAGTAACCAGAGATTGTGTTTTTGAAGAACCAGAGGCTCCCCCATAGTGTGTGACAGTGTATCAGGTGTTGGTAAACAAGATCATGACAGATTTCTTTCATTGCTGAGAGAGTGAGTGACTGTCGAGTGTGATACATGATACCGCACTCTTTATTGACTTTACTGTGAATGACGTGTATGTGGTTTCTCCAGTTAAGTTTCTCATCAACAATAACTCCGAGGAATTTAGTATTTTGTTTGCGTTTGAGGACTGTATTTCCAAGGTACAGGGGGTCCAAGTCTGGGGGTAAGTTTTTTCTTCTGTGAAAGATCGTGTAGTGGGTTTTCTCAAGGTTTAAGGTCAGTTTATTACGTATTACCCAGGTCCTGACTTTAGTTAATTCAGTGTTCATAGTTCTCATCAAGGAATGGAGGTCTGAGTTGCTGGCATAGAGATTACTATCGTCTGCATATAAATTGTATTTTATGAGTGAGCTGGCGTGGAGTATGTCGTTTATGTACAACAAAAAACAGTATTGGACAGAGAATGGAACCTTGGGGGACTCCATACAAGATTGGCGAGGAGTCAGATTGGTGATTATAGCAGACACACTGCATCCTGTTGGACAGATATGAGGTAAACCAATTGTGGGACAGGCCCCTAACGCCGTAATGTTCAAGCTTTGAAAGGAGGATGGTATGGTCGACAGTATCGAAGGCTTTATAGAGGTCCAAAATATACCGACTGTGAATTGACTGTCATCAAAGGAATTTAAGATGTCATTAGTAAAGGATAGCAGAGCACTCTCAGTCGACCTTCTAGCTCTAAATCCAAACTGGGAGTCTGTAAAGATGTTATTGGCATTGCAGAAGGAATTTAGTTATTTGATAAGGAAAGGATTATGAACAGGGGAGGAAGTTCTTAGAGAGGATCTATCTTAGGTAAAAGTCCTTTGGTTTATGAAGAAAAGGAGTTTGTATAGGACTCCTGTATCGGACTCGTGTGGTGTTTGGGAGGGTCACACTAGATAACACCCTTCTCACGTGTGTCTGGGCTGAGATTCGAACCCTTGATAATTTGGTGAGAGATAGACGTCAACGCCGTTCCACCAACACCCCTGAAAAATGAATACAACGGAATAGAAACACGTCACTTGAGAAATTGGAGTGGAACCTAACTTTACCTAACAAAATCTAACTTAATTTATTGTAACCTGACCTAACCTAACCTAACACGAGGGCCTAATCTTACCTAATCTATTCTAAGTTAGAATGGGTTAGGTTAGGTTACATTAGATTGGCATAAGTTAAGATTTGGTTAGGTTGTGTTAAGTACCACTCTTATTTCACAAGTGATGTGTTTCTATGTCATTGTATTAATTTTAGACAAAGAAAAACACTGTTATTATTACATAGAACATTTTATTACCTAGAGAACATACATAAATTATATAGTCACCTTAATTGTCTATGTAAAACAACAGAACTAAATGGAGGTCCAATGTTAGCCTATATGTGACGACTAATATAACACACAGTGAGGGAGGACGGTGGTCTGGCCCAAGGAAGTTCTCTCTCGTGGTTAAAGTTTCCGGGGATATTATTATACATTTACCAGTACAGCTTGAGAGTGGTCAATGATACAGTGCATGTGTCTCTTATTTCTCTTCACGTAGACAACTATAAGCATCTGTGTTATTACCAATGTTCTTCTAAAGGTTTTCTTCTACCCCTGAGGCAGTGAGCACTCTCAGCTGCCCACTAGACTAACCACTTCCCTACCTAAGCAACATTACTCTCTAACTGGTGAAGTCATTTAGATGGTATTTCTCCTTTTTCCTTGTTTTAAAGACCTTGTCTCGCATGCCACTAACACAACGCCCTTCCTGGCACCTTCTAGTCCTACACCGGAATACAACCCTGAAACGCCGTGGGATGCTCCCTTGGCCTCGAAAATCCACCGTCAGAGCGGGCGGCAGAGGTTAGTTCACCTCACAGTAGCTGGGGGACGGAGTAGTTGGCACCACTGTAGAGAAGCTAAACTTACACAGGGTCTGTACTGGGGTCTCTAATACGCTTTTCTCTCTCCCTTGTATTAACTGAGTCATCGTGGAGCTGTTTGTACCGCCGTGAGGAGATCATGGCTGGCTGCTGCACCTTATGATACATCACATCTATGTTAATGCTGACGACCTCTGCTAGTGACGGACTTGATTATAAACTTATGCTGTTCTGAATCTGTATCCGCGTGACTTGATTACGACACATGCCAGACAAGTGACACCGACTCACAGATGGGGACGAGGAGGTGTCCACAAAATAACATCACTTTATTCCTATTAAGATCGTCATAGAGAAATTATCTATGGGAAAAATACACAAAGACTTACATAAAGACCGCACCTGGGACACAACTGATACCATATTTACACTGTTAGTATGACGCAGCTCAGTGACAGTACCATGACAACCTGTGATCAGTCAGCCCTTATATGACTCTGATGACGTCCTGTGTATGACACCTCGTATACGCCAGTGTTGTCCCTCTTGTGTGAGTGTGGGGGTCAACCTCCAGCAGTAGTAGCAGTGGATCAGGGGTATCCCGTTATGGCTTCCGTACGCTTCTTGTGTCCTGTTGCAGTTGTGTAGAGCATTGTGGCTTTACCTGGCGTCTGAGTTGTAATGTTGTGTTAGTGAATTGTTGATAGAATTTAAGAGCTTCTATTTATTACCTTACTAAAGTATATTACACGAGCATTTATTATTGTGATGTATATTTATCATCGTGTCCACCACAAGTTAGGATCTACAAAGTTCCTCTCGCTTTAACGAACCAAATATTTTCTCCCTTCACCCAGAGCGGCAGAGAACGCGGGCGTTAAGGTCGACCTCAGGAAGGAGAAGGTGAAGAAGGTGAAGGAAGGACTCAAGACCCAGAATATGGTCAACGAAGAGACCGAAGAGATGAAGCTGCGGCAGTGGAAAGGTGCGGTGGCTGTCGGTGCGGGAGTATCGCCCCCGGAGTGGAAGTGAGTAGTGTGGAGAGTCTGTGTCGCCTCGCGGGTTCACGTGTTTGGTTAACAGAGAATATTGTGATGATGAATAATTGTTCACTTAAAGTCATGTTATTATTATTCCAACACCTAACTAACATAAGTCCATGATCACTGGCGGCATCCCACATACTGCCTGAGTTAATATTGAAAACCCTTTTGTCCCCAAGTCCATTTTTTGTCGAGACCCGCCGATGTCCTGTAGATTCTGATAGATTCTTGTACTGGCCACATCAGAGCCATGTTATTGAAGGGTGTCATTATTACATTGTCTTGTGTATATGGGTGTTAACTGTCACCTCGTTGTCACAGGGGAAGACCCGCCACATCCACCACCAACATGCAGGCGGCCTCAGAGCTCAGACAGATGTTACGCTCCAATGGCGCCGTGCCCCCGAAAAGACAAGCTCCTCGAACACCAGCGCCAACGCCCCCCAAACAAGATCAACCTAGAACGTCAAACGACGCCGCCTCCCAAGGTTCTCAAGGAGGTGCTGAAGTTGAGGTAGAAGATACCGGACCTTACAACTTCAGACAGTTCCTCAGGAAGACAAACTACGCCCCGACGGACACCATCAGGAAGAGGCAGCTGAAGAGAGATGGTCTGAACGGATACGGCGCAGAGTACCAGATGTAAACAAGAAGAGATCAGATTCTCTTCCTCAGTGACTAGAAGGACTTGATCGCTTCTCGGGTTTTTTCTCTCTATCCTTAAGACTAACGCAGAGAACCGAAGGAAAATAATAGTTCTAGATCCGTGCTGGGAAGTTTAGGGAACTACCGACGAGGAGAGCCTCTTGGTATAGTAAGGAGTTGGCTTAAGCATCTCCCAGGTTGTAATGTAACCACGTGACTGATACCCTCCACTACTACCCGCTGGAGGAGACTGACGACCCACATCCACGGAGACAACTTATAAGAACCATTAGCCTTGGAATGAGGACAAGTTGTAAAAGTTTTGGTCTCAGGCAAGAACTCCTAAGACGGTCATCCTCGGTGCTGTTGTTATGTAAGATGCAGAAGCTTTAGAGACCTCAGACAGGAGGAGTGATGGATGGCCTCTGTGCTCCTTCAGAGGTCAACACGTAGACCGCCGCCTCTCTCCAGTAGAAGACATGGTTATTGCTTCCTTAGAGCCCGAGTCTCCCTCATGGCCAGAATGTGTTAGCTTAGCGCAGTAATGTAGAGTCACTGAAACACAAATGTTGCTTGGAGGTCTGTAGTTCAACACAGCTGTGCAGTAGACATTGAAATAGACTTAAATGTTTATCAACAGAATTTTAGGCAAAGTATATACCAAGATTGATACATGCAAATGTTTTTATTTATTTATATTAATATTAAGATTATTATAATTTCCATTATTATTAAAATTATTATTATTAATATTAATATTAGTATTATTTTATTGATTTATTATTATTAATATTAATATTAGTATTATTTTATTGATTTATTATTATTAATATTAATATTAGTATTATTTTATTGATTTATTATTATTATTATTATTATTATTATTATTATTATTATTATTATTATTATTATTATTATTATTATTATTATTATTCAACCTGCTTTCTGTAGATACATTTACTGCAAATGGCAATTTTTTGGCATTACCACAAAGGTTCGGCAGTTAGTGTTTACAACGAATAACAGTCTGCTAAGCTTACTAGGCAAGGCGATGACGATGATGATGAGGATGATGATGATGGTTGATGATGATGGTTGATGATGATGACAGAGAACCTTGGAGTAGAAAGACGTCTGCTGTAGGCCGTGGAGGAGGTGAAGCTGTAGAGGGAGGTGTAGAGCCTTGGAGGGTGCAGCCTGTGTGTGGGGTGTCGGGTAACGTCTTGAAGGTGAAACAAAAGAAAACAGAATCAACCAAGAAAATATGTTAGGCATGTATAAATACATAATATATATACATATACATAGACCATTTTTTTTTTGCAATGCTAGTCAATTTTGCTCTACCAGTGAGCTCTCTCTCTCTCTCTCTCTCTCTCTCTCTCTCTCTCTCTCTCTCAGTTCAGTAGACATATATGACGTAAACCAGACATATTAGAACACAATCTTGACTTTCGTTGTACCATATTTCTTCACTAATGTAATTATGTCTTTCTTGATATTATATGGAAGTGAAATTTATTCTTAATTCATTTTCTCTGAGTTTATTTGTCCCATTAATATATATATTTTTTTTTACATTAAATTATTATAGTGAAAAGCTGAAGAGATAGTTAGAACACTGTTGATGTTGCTGCCCTCTTTTGTACTTTATTTCCACTACTGTTCCATTTATTTTGAACAGTTCAGAGCTCGAAACAATTAAGTATCATTCGAATCAATTTCATTAAAAGGAATATCACTGAAACAATGCTCGAGACACTTCATATCGGTTAGACAAAGTGTATCTGTATAGACATCTTATAAAACTATGTGAGTCAATAGGGCAAATATTAATAACACTGATAATATTACAATATATACAAGGTACTACTAGAAGACTGTCTGAGAGCCTTATGGGTTTGAGTACCGTCAGACACCCATATCCATACCTACGGTCGACACTCATGGCGAAACACCAGCAGTCCCGTAGAAGTTGACTTGTCTTGGATAATTTAACATGGCTGTGTGTTGTGGTGATCTGTCGGTGTAATGTCTGCAAGTCTGTCCAAGTAATCTGATGGAATGATCGATTCATAATGAGATGGTGTCAAAGGTTATGATGTAGTGGTATAATGTAAAATATTGTCTATATATTATGAATTTCCGTGGGAGTAAAGTGCAAAAAGGGATACTACTATACTCCTACTACTACTACTACTACTACTACTACTACTACAACAACTACGACTACTATTATTACTACTAGGCCGTTTTCTGTACAAAATGATAGTAAAGGCATCAGGGGAGCATTTGAAGAACTCTCTGTCGTGTGAAACAAGTGACAGTGTTCAGTAAATAATAAATATGATACAACTGTCTTTATGTTTTATTAATCCTGAGTATGTATGTATGTATGTATGTATGTATGTATGTATGTATGTATGCATGCATGTAAATAATAATAATAAACGGTTTATTAATAGAGTTGCAGCCGGTGGCTGAAAATATACAGACTTACGAGTGATTTAGACATAATAATATACGTTCAATACATTTACAGGGCTGTACAGTACATAAATCAGGAGTTGTTTATTATTTTAACAATAGATGGGATGGTGCTGTTCTTATGTCTATCAGTGTGGGCTCTTATGGGCTGAATTTTGTTGTAGTGGCGGACTGCAAGAGGTGGGCGGGGGACTGCAGGTGGCAGTAGGTGGGGATGACGAGGGTGGTGCAGTAGTCCATTGTCAAACCCTGCTAGTGCGTGGTGGTGGAGGTCACTGAGGGATGGCATTTCCAGGGTGGAGAGAGCGTTGGTGTAGCCGGAGTAGTCTGCGCCGAGCATGATTCTGCAGGCCCTCTTCTGTACCTTCTCTAGCTGACGTTGTTGGGTAGAGTTGAGAGAAGACGACCAGGCTGGTGACGCATACGTTAGTTTGGGGAGAATAAAGGCGTTGTAGATGGTCCTCAGCTCTGGAGCAGGTGTCCCAAGTGACCTGAGTCGTCGTAGCATGTTGAGTCGGTAGCTGCCCAGATTGTGTTGTTTACATGGGCCTTCCAGTCCAGTTTGTGGTCTATCGTTACACCCAGGAGTTTGACAGACTGCACTAACTGGAGATGATGGCACCCACTGTAACTGCTGGAGCTTGCACTGGAATGATGGCGGTATTGATGTGTGTGTGTGTGTGTGTGTATGCATGTACAGTATGTATGTATGTATGTCTCACAGAACAAACAACACAAGGACCTCAAGAAAGACTATTATTTACCTGTGTGTGTGTACAAGAGAAGGCTAGTGTTGAGTTGTTCAGCTGTTATTTTTTTTTTTTATTTCAACAGTTTATTCTATATTACAGGAGCCGGGATGCTAGTGCTGTCATCAGGTACCCACGTACAGAGTTACCAGCAGCATCTGGCCGGAGTCTCAAGTACATATAAATTAGATAATAGAAATGGGCTTACTGAACCCTAAGGAAAGAAGGCTAAGCATCGTGCAGCCGTCAGGAGATCGCTGAGCGGTGGTCCAGTAGGAAGAGTTGTGTGCGGGACGTCTCAGGATGTAGTGGATGAGTGTGCGGCTGTCTGCTCACTTGCATGATACACAAGCACGGTGCTCTAGGGAGGTGGGGATACCAATCTCCCAAGCAAAATCGTACTCGACCCTTCCCCGTACACACACGAGAAGTCAGGAAGTTTACAGAGGTCATCGTACCAGGTAGGCGGGGAGTCCAGGGGAATGGCTGCTTCCCGAAACACTCTCTGTTTGTGACGAATTTGTGTTCTAAGTTGTCGAATTGTTTGAAGGGCAATTTAAGCAGGTGTGACCTTGTCAGAGTCGGTATTGGTAGTTCAGTTGTTGTGTGGTAACTGAGAGGTGGGGAGGGAGGGTTGTGATAGGGGGAAGCGGTCAGTGATCAGTAAACAGTGTGGGTGAACGGATGGAATCGAGGCTTATGAGAGGGAAGAAGTCAGAGGTCTTGTATCCGGCGTGTGATCAGGTCAAGTCTTTAAGGAGCAGAGGTCAGTATCTGTAGTTCAGTATGAGTAAATATGAGGGGGTTAAGCTTGTACAGTATGAGTAAACCTGTGAGTATGGTGTAGACCCAAGGGTCCTAAAATCAGTGTGAGAAAGCTTAGGCGTGGTAGGGTAGATGTAAGACCCTGTTACTCAGTTTCTTGACGCCATTGCAGTAATTGGGAACCTGGATGTTAATCGATATTGTGGATCGTGTTCCGGGGTAATGGTTAGCCAGTGCAGTTGGTGAGTTGCCCGGTCTTCTCTGACTATTCCTTGACACTGGGTCATGCAGCTCGTTAACTTAGGGTGTGTGGTTGTTGTGTTGGCGACAGCTTCTACACCTTAAACAAACTCACGCCTAAGTGGCCCTAGGGCGCGGTGTAGTCTGTTGCTGGGGTAAGCTGATAGTTCCTCGTAGCTCAGCTGAAGAAGGCGACGACGAGGTTGGAGGCCAAGTCCTCAATAAAAAGACATTCCCTTACATTAACTGGACTTTGGGGAATATTTCAGTAGATCAGAGGAGACACGATACGATTTTAGTGTCTGAGTGAGTGTAGGTGTGTAACAAAGATGCTTACAGTATGACCACAAATAATCGTCAGGGTAATTTGAAACTCCTGAAATGAGCTTTGAACCTGTATCAAAGCTTATGTGAGTTAGGGAGTGTGTTATCCCCCCCCCACACACACACCTGGACGTTGACTCACCTGAACACATTAAAACAACAAGAACAATTGTATGTATATTTGGTTTACAATATAAGTCAATACATCACAGGTAAATATTTGTAATTGTTTACATTGAAGACAAGGAACAGTAAACATTGTAGCAGAAAATACAGTAAATATACAGCAAGCGTACAACAAAAAATCACCCTAAATACAGCAAAAAAATACAGCTATACTATACAGCATCTGGGTCGGCTTAGGGTTCCCGGGTTAGAGCCAGTGAACGTTAAAGTAAGAGACAAGCGCCCTATCCACTCAGCCACAACACCAAGGTACCACTATCACCACTAACAACATGAGAACAGCAAAAGTCACTATTATTACACCAAGACGCTAAGATCACTATTGTATTAGCGATACCACTATAAAAACTAAGTCACCAATAATACCACTGTAACACCATGAACATTTGAGATCACCACAACACCAAATCACCAATATAATCGAAACTACACAGTGAAATCACCATCCTTAAGAACACATCACCACTATCACCACTACAGTAACCAAGACACCAATATCACATCTTCAAGTCACCACGATATAAAATAAGTCACCAATATCACCATTACTATAATACGATGTCACTAATATCACCACTATTACATCTAGTTATCATTATTGCTTTGTCAACAATATCACCAATATAGGATATCACCAGTACCACTAACACAATAACTAGAGTTGACTGTCTCGTGCACCAAGGATATCACCATTAGCCTACAAAGTGCACCTTCCCCAATGTGCACCCCTTTAGCTAATCACTAACACATAAACGATTGGTGCACCTTGTAATATGCACCCAAAACACTCGGTTACAACCAACAGTATTATGTGCACGTAAAGATTTCTGTATGCTTATTATGTGCACGTAAATATGTGCACGCAGTCTTAAAATATAAAGTGCACCATTTAAAGTATTTCCAAAGGATCAGAATACACTTGTGCACCGTATCAAGTGCACAAAACTCCATAATATACTGTAAATCTTTTCACAGTGCACGT